GTCTGTCAGCTCGTGTCCGCTCTTAGGAATAGTAGATTCTTACTCAATACACTGCTCAAGATTGTTGGTTTTAAGATATGACTGGAATTTGCCATTAAGCTGATAGAATGTCTTAGAACTTACTTCTCTATTGGATCGAGTGTGGGCAGTAAATAACTCCATTGTTTCCTCCATAACAAGTACTTAGTAAAAGAACCTATTTAAAATGTGTAATCCTACTGTTAAATAATCTGCAGCGACCGTGATAGACTAATAAGGGATATCTACACTACTTCGTCAGCGAAGATAGCGCGTGACTCCAACATCTCAGCCACTAATAACGTTCGGGCACCTCTCTCGCCTGTGTTAGCGCCCGCCAACCCGGTATACTAAAGCCGGGTACTCATTAGCGAGCTGTAACCGTAACCGTTGCATGCACTGTAACCAAAAAGCATTGTGGGTACGTGGTTCGCTCAGTGGCGGGGCAAGACCTAAATTTGATGTGGGCAAGACAGATTTCACGAGGCCCTGTTCTATGGCGACATGAAGACGGATTTTATAAAATAATAAAAAAAAAGAAATTCGCTTTTAAGCAATAAAAATTATTGAGGCGCGAGGCCCCTTGTACCGCGAGGCCGTAGGCGGTGGCCCACGTCGTCCACGCCTTACGCCGCCTCTGGGTTCGCTAACCTGCTGCGAGCGGTAGGAGTACGGTTTGCAGCGAGCCGACGTTTACAACTGAGCAACAAGCATACACACTAGAACCTCGTACTGTATCACGCATGTTACGGTTACAGCTCGCTAATGAGTACCCGGCTTAACTCTTTTCTTAAATAAATAAATATTACCAACACTTACACCAATTAGCTTAGCTTCAAAGTGAGCACTGTAAGACTTCTGTTATGGGATACTATAGTAACGGATAGAATACATATACTGTACATATATAAGTATATTTATATAGAAATACATATTTAACATCCATGACTGGAGTACAAATGCTCGTATTCATAACACAAACATCTGCCCCACCGGTATTCGAACCTGGGACCTTTCGAGTCGGCGACACCATGAAACCCGGCGTACAAACCACTCGGCCACGGCGGACGTCAATGGATGGATGTGATTGGATTCTTACACTAATTATTATAAGAGAAACTCGATAGCGCAGGTGGTTAGCGAATTCAGGCTGCGATCGTCAAAGTTTAGAAACTTTCGCAATGGTCGGTCATTGGATGGGTGACCAAAAACTAATTATCTCAAGCTCCTCCGTGCTTCAGAAGGCACGTTAAGCCGTTGGTCAGCGGGTCCGTGTGGTGGGTTACGACCCAGATTCCCTATTCCATCCATAGAAATGGCCTGTGCCCCAGCAGTGGGGACATCAAAAGGTTGATGATGAGTTATAATAAAGAAACTGAAGTGACATGTTTTGGACGTAAATATTATACTTAACCTTTAATTTTGAAGTAAATAAAATCGTTAATAAAATACCTACTTCCCACTAATATTATTAATGGAAACTATAGCTCATGTTGTTGAACAATAACATAGTACCCATAAGTATTACATGTCAGTAACGCCTTATTAGATAGCATCAAAGATGATTAAGTATAGCGACTCAATTAACTAACTAACTGTTATGGCATCTATATATGTCCTGAATTAATTTAATGCTAACATTTCATACACTAAATGGTACCGCTGGGGTTATAATTCCAATAGCTTACCCAAAGCTATTCTGCAGATTACGCTAGAGAAACTCCAGGCATGTTACGTGTCGCCAGAGTGGCGTATGGACTCGGTGGGTTGGGATACCCGACAACTTCGGGCCGATTGCAACCCCACCAGAGATTTCTGGCTTGCGAGGACGCCAAAGTAATAGGCATGCGTCCGATATATCAAAACGAATCCAAAATCCGATTTCAAACACAAATCGATACCGAACGATTTCTCAACAAGAAAATCCGATTTCAGAAATCTAACCGAACCAAAACGCTAGCGATCTAATACCACAAGTATCCAAATGTAAATCGGATTCGAAATTCGTGCTTTCGTTTTCAGAAGTCAGATTTCGTGCTCGGAAGTCCGATTTCGATTTGCTGTTTACGGAAATCTATTGCTCTTCTCTGAGGTGGGATTATTTATCACTGAAAAGATATGTCGTCTAAAAACATCAAAAATAAAAAAATAAAATTCATTTATTTCGAGCAACATAACTCATAATCATAATAATAATGCATAATCAATTATTGTAGAAATAGGCACATGTCACTTTTTTTTTTAATCAAAAGTCGAGCACCTTACATTTTTGGACGCTAACCTGAAGTAATTAGGTTTGATTTTGTAAATGGTTTGAAAAATAATAAAAACAAACAGAAAAACAAAAAAAAAAATACTAAAAAAATATTTAAAAAGAAATCATTGTATAAAAGCCGATTTTTAAATGCGCCGCAAAAGTTTTACTCTTAACCCTAAACATAACTTTTCTGCTAGTCCTAAGCCTAGATTTAAAGCATGAAGGAAAATCGCGAAAATCTACGAGTATCCTTGCTTCCTACAATTAATTGTTTGTGATTGTCGTTAGCTAATAAAACCAAATCATAACACAAACTAGTGAATTGGCTAAGTTCGGCACATCTGAAATCGGATATCTAAAAACGGATTTTAAAATCGATTTTGAAATCTGAAATCCGATAAATATCCGTTTGCGTTCAAAACCAAAAACGCCCATGTCTACAAAGTAAGATTTACATAGTTTCAAGTAGTTTACTTAGATGACTTTATAGTTGTAGTCATTGCCTTAGCAAGATTATGGTGTCGATTCTCTAAATCTAAACTTAGGTAAATTTGACAACAGTGGTGTCGATTCTGGCACGATTCTCTAAATCTAAACTTAGGTAAATTTGACAAAAGTGGTGACGATGCTGGCACAGTTCTTAAATCTAAACTTAAATTTGACAACAGTGTATCCTTGTCATTCTCTATACAGAATGAAAAGGAGAGACTGATGTTAAATTTAGTTTTAAATTTAGAGAATCACGGAACAATACAAGGATAAGAGGAGGTTGACCATTATCCTCATGCTCTTTTGACGAATGAAAGTTAGTGTGAACTTCCATAATAACTAATACAAAGTTTTCCACTCGTATAAGGCACCTCATTCATACAACAGCTAGCAGTATACTTAGCTAAAAGTAACATTTTGTATACCGATTGGATATCTTTCACAGATGTAAAATATGCAAGGAAACATCAGAACGCGAATCTAATCAAAAACTCAAAAGAATAACGCAACGACGACATTAAAATCACATACCTATATTCGAATCGATTAATAATACTTGGCACAGTAATCAAATTGTTTTAATGATTTCGATATCTTTATTTTTAATTTTAGATTTAATTATTGTTGTTAGTTATTTCCTTGAATATATCATACTATAGTTATTATAAAATGAGTTTTAATTTTTATAAGTCATTAATGAAATAAAAATAATCTTTAATAAAAAACCAATTTCAAATTGAATTAGGATACTATAACCAGACACTGTATGTATATATTGTGTAGGTACCTATTATATATGGTGTTTTAATGTTTATTTATATAATTATGTATGTATGTGTAGTATAATTAATTAATGCTTTTTAATGTTTTCTCTGTTCGTTGTCTGCCGTTTCATTTTCTCTGCACCTTTATTAAGTCCGCTATTTGCATTGTAAAGGCAATAAAGATTAAATAAATAAACTCCAGTGCGAATATTTTATTTTTCTTTCCACAATTCATAACTTATAATGATTCAAAGGTAGTTTTATACTTTATACATAAAAAACGTGACGAGTATCGCTGAAATATAAAAGCAAATAACAAAAGATAACAATTCAGTTCAAAACTTTATAATATTTCACTTACTCAGTCTAAATTAATCTTGAGATAATTAATATTTAAGTAAACATATTTTATTTAAACAATATATTTTAATTCCATAATAACAAAATAACTATTAATATACAGGGTGTAAAAAAACCTATAACGAAGTCGAAGGCCACGTATTTTCCACATCATGACGATCATTTTTTTCTTCTGGACCATATCTGGGAAATTTATGGTTATGGAGATATTGAAGGTCAAAGTCAGTTTTTTTTTTCATAATGTATACATTAATATTTCAAAACGTTATTTAGAAACTTTTTTATCGACGCATTTACACACACGCAGACACATACACACAGGCATATTCTTTGCGTAGCGCCACAGTAGCACGCCGCGCTATACTTTGCGTACTGGAAAAAAAATGTATTTTTTCAACTTAAAAATACAAATTTTTCCCACCTTTAATATTTTATAATATTACTTATTTGGGTGTACAGAATGCGTAGTTTTAGTCTTTGTCATAGGTTTTTTTACACCCTGTATATAAATACATTAGATCGGAAAGATTGTTATTAGTGGTTATATACATTTTAAGGGACGCATTAACAAGTTAACTCTATCAATTTCATCAGGTTAATCATATAGATATCTGATAAATGCAATATTAACACCATTACCATAGTATCTTTATATCTATTCTATACATTTATTTAAATTCATAATATCATATATTTTGTTAACAAGAGTAGACATCTTACAAGGAAAAGAATATATTATAAATAACGTGAGTGAAAAATGAGTTAATTTTCAAATTCATAACACCTTTTTCTTTGAAATGCTTGAAGCATCGTCATAATAGAATTAAATAAAGAATAATCATAAACAGTTTCATCACAGTTATTTGTCTATATTTCCTCTTTTCAAATCAATAAATATTAAACTTTGGAATATAATAAGATCCTTTTAGTTTTCCTTTCTTCTACGCAAATGGTATATTGAAGTTATAAATAGTACGTGCTAGGATAATTGTTATGTGGTGAATTACCATATAAGTCATAGATTTAAAATCAATTTCCTATTAATTCATAGCTTTCTTTGTACGAATCGTAAATTTGTTACGATAACATAGGTTATTTTATTTTCAAAATCTAAAATCTGCTAATTTTAAGATAATGAACACCAAAAAGAATTTAGAATGTGATCACAGTCATCGTAAGCATTCGATCGATCTCGATGATCAAATCAACTCGTAAAACAGCAGCTTTTCCAAAATTCATCGCCGCATTCAGAGAACTCATTTAACTTTTAAGTTTGACTAAAGTTAATGCTATTTGTTTCTTAGGTTTTCACGCACATCACTCATTAAATAAAACACGTTTCAATTGTATAATAAAATCATTATTCAGACGACGAAACGTCAATAAATAAATAAAATCAGTGCATCGATACCGTTGAAACTTATTTTATTTAAAGTTTATGCTGTCACGTAATTTGCGGTTTCAATAGAATGAGAGAACACGTGACTTAATGAAATATTAAATGAATTTGCGTGATTTCTGAGTAACAAAGTTAATCTTACAATATATCGTCGGTAGAAGTAAACACTAATTGATCCTGATGACAAACCTCCCATCCCAGAAAGGCAACATGTGAAGCACGCACCGTCATACATCTTGCGCGTCTACAAGGCAGACGTTGGCCAGAGCAAGTGCTGCATTTTGTCGGACCTGCGCAAGAAACAAATATGCCGTATCCGTATCCTGGCCATAGGTATATGCCGTAGAACAGATAGCCGTTGGGGCTAGGGTTACCATCCGCCCGGATTTGTCCGGACATTTTGCCTTTTGTCCGGAATTTGTCCAGCTTTTTAATTTGTCCGGGTTTTCGTAATTATATGGAATATGAGTAAAACTACTTATTAAGTTTTAAAACAAAATATAAATTATCTTTAAAAATCAACAAGGAGGAGACCCCCCTCGCGATGCGAGGCCGAGGGTCTGCTACCACGCGTAAAATATCACTGTAACTAAGTGGGTGATGTTTGCATTTTTTTACTAAAATGTCCGGACTTTTATCGAAATGTCCGGCCTTTTGTCGGGACTTTTCAGATTTTTAAATAGTAACCCTAGTTGGGGCAGACTAGTTCTGGAGTGGAGACCCCGCGACTAAAGGAGCAGCACGCTATGATGGCCGTTTTGACGTTTGCGTGCCCATTAAGTAATTCACATGGCACGCAGTTCACTTACTATTGATGATATTATGGGTTGTGTGGCAGGTAAGACCGCTGCACCAGCTATCTTCGCATCTGGACTTCACCGTCACTTAACATCAAGTGGGGTGCGAGTCGGACTCGCCCACCGAGGATTCCGTACAAATTTGTAGTAGGGGAGCCCAAGAGGGGATTTTTGGATTTACTCGAGCGCGGCAAATTAAAATATGGGTGACAACCTTGCCGTTTGTGAAGTACTCCCACCATACCTGAGCCCTCTAAGGAGTAACGAACGGCTAGGGCTGCAAAAAAAATTCAACAAACCGGCACGATTTTTGCTCACGTCCAAATCATCAGTCTTTTGAATAGAAGGTACTGGAAGGTTCACGTAACGTTTCTGAAGACCGAAAAAATATTGATCTGCTGGTTTGCATGGTGCGGAGGTGGCCGTACAAAGAGGTAGAATCTAGGAAAAAAAACTCGAACGCGTCAGGATTTAGAACAGAAGGCATTTTAGGTGAACCCTCTGGTACCTCCTATTCAAAAGACTGACGTTCGTCACAACATGGAGGGTTCAGTTATGTTGGGAGTACTTCAGACGGGGCAAGGTTGCCCCCCCCCCCCCATATATTAATCTGCCGCGATCGAGTAAATCCAAAAATCCCCGCTTGGGCTCCTCTACTATTGTAGGTACGCTACAGACACGGCCGTATATTTTTTGCGTTAACTTAGAAGTAAAAAAATATCGCAGATTTTGCTATATGGTTTAAATTTCATTGCGATACCTATACGCGTTCCTGAGAAAAAGGGTATTGACTTTACATACAGACAACAAAGTGATCCTATAAGGGTTCCGTGTTTTCTTTTTGAGGTACCGTAAAAATTAATGTGGACAAAATGAATTTAAAAAAAAGGACAAGGTACCTGTGGTTGTTTTTTTTAAGCATTTAACTGCTAGATGTTTAAATCTAAAGAAAAGTTTTACTAAAAAAGGGTATTAAAAAAAAGGGGTTACCTACAATGCGAAGATATGGCGCTGCCTTGCAGCTTAAGGCTAGGAAAATTACGACGCGGCCATCAGGGCCGTGGTAGCATAATTGGTCAGTGCATTCGACCGGATTGCGAAGGGTGCGGGTTCGAGTCCCGTCTGCTGCCTCGGCCGCGTGGAATTTTTTGTAGCTATATTTTCTTTAGATATAAAAAAGGAACAAGTTACCTGTGGGTTAGTGTCTTTGACTAGTTGCAGCAGGCGGGCGCGCGCGTTGCGAGTCACGTCGGGGTCCAATTCCATGTCTTCGAAGGTCTTCTCCCTTATGCGGTACAGCTCAGCGTACAGGAGTCCTGAGGATATTTCATTTCACATGAGCATCTTCTATCGGTGCAAAATCACGTGGAAACATAAAATTAAATATTTAGTTTTTAACCGACTTCAAAAAGACAATTGAGAAGGACGAGGTTCTCCATTCGTCGTAATATGTTTTTTATTGTTGTTAAAAAAATCGAAATGAGATTTTGTTGCAATAATAAAACCATTAACAAAAAATTCACATTTACCTGCTAGGTTGAAATAAAATATTTTAAATTAGATTGAAAGGCGATGGTTCAAAACTGGTAGTCGGTTTCCAGTTGCGACGAAACATATATAATTTGGAAGGTAACTTTATATTATAACATGAACAAATACTTTTGTTTATTTATTTATCTCCAATTAATTTGAAATCGTCTTTAAACATTTAATAATTATGTAAAGATGCTGGCCACCTTGTCATAATTAAACCATATACTCTACTCAATCACTATGGTAAATGGTTATAAGTCCAGTCATGATTGATATTGTGGTGAACTCATTACACCAATTAATGATAGAATTTTCTTAAAATAAAATACCCAGAAAATACCTAATAACGTGATGAAAGATGAACAGAATAATGATCACTACTTTAGTTACCTATTGAATAGAATATTTGATGCTTTGGCAACATAAACTTGCCATTTGCCAATAAATACTTATAATAATTTTATATTATACTAATTATTATTAAAAAAACGGGATAAAATAAATTCCAAGTTTTTCGCCAAACGATGTACAATTAAGTGCCCCACGTGTCAAAAAAAATCGGAATCTGCTGGAAACTGACTACCACCCTTCATACAAATTTGAACCGTCTCCTTATGTGTATCAAAACGTAAAATAATCTGTACCTCGTTAGGGGTCCTTACAATACCATTCTAAGCTCAAACCTCGTCCTTTTACAACATGGCCGCCTCACTATAAATTTTGCTGTCATAAATACAACTAATAATGAACATTGAAGCCGGAGCACGACCGCGAAAAGAGCGAGGTCATTAATGAGTCCGTCCGTTGACTCGCAGCGGTAAAGTCGTAGTTGCGAATCGATCGACCGTACGCAAAACAGTCTACCGGAGCGACAGAAAATGTACGAGTAATAATAGCCGTAAGTAGCCTCGCTCTGTGTCATTTCACCGCGTCGCGTCGGTTGCGAGTTTCGACCGGAGCGAGCGGTGTCGACCTCCCCCCACACTCCTGTCCCCGCCCGACTGTACTTACCTAGCTGTAGGGGGACGGGTTAGTATATTTTGATCAACCGTAAGCAATGGAAGACTTTATTAAAGCTGTCAGGCGATTCCCTGAACTATGGAATACAGAATTGCAAGAGTACCGCGATTACAGGAAGAAGGAGGAGGCATGGACGCAAATCGTAGCCGCTATCAACAAAGATGTAATTCCAGATAGTAAGTATTTATTTATGGTTTTTAATTTTATTGTAATATGTATATGTTGTAAGTACAGTTGCCTGTTGATGCATAAACGAGTGTGTATATGCAGCAACAGGCAACTTTGTTCACTACATTTTTTAATTCCATTTTTCAAAAGAATGCATTTATGAGTTATTCGTTTTGCACGATACTAGGTAATATGACAATTTTCTTTTATTTTACAAGTTGATCATTAAGTTCTAACTACAGATCAGGTATACTCGAAAAGTCGGCAATATACCTAAACGTTAGCGCGTGTTGCCAAACAAAAAAGAAGAATGCGTTTTCATTTCACCAACATTTCGTGCTCTAATGGGCCCACAGTTATAGTATTTTCGCGGTGTAATCTTTGCCTTACTGCTTGTGGAAATGAGCAGTAAACTTTTGCATGAAGCAGATCCTTGGTCACAAATAAAAACATAAATATGCGAAAGGAGTTCTATTTTCTTTCTTCTATTTAGATTTGGCGGAAAATTCAAATGACCGTTACAAAGTTTTTGACGAAAAATGTTAACAGAAAAAATACACCACAGTATTCGGGCCGCGAAAGACATTACTCGAATTCCGAAGCAATATTTACACTGGAAGACGGTGACGGGGAAACAAAACGAAAACTACCTGAATACGGGCGTACGTTTGCTAGAGTTTAGTGAGTCAAGTTATTCATTTATTACCGATGACGTCAGAAAGAGCGAAATGAAACCCTTCAAAAACTGCTAAATTGATTCAAAACCTATTTGATTTCGCTCTTTAGGAAAACCGGTTTTTTAAGGTTAAGGTAGAGCCAAACCTAAATAAAATGCTCCTAATGTACTTGACACTGATTTAGGTTTGAAAATTAACCGGTAAGCAAGCCCTGATAAGAATACCTATTGAGCCTACAACAATAAACATTTTTCTCTCTCTCTCTCGTATTTATAACTGGTAATAGGACGACTGTTTTTTTATAACTCTTAAAATGTGGTCCTGAATGAGGCTGTCACTTTAGGCGTTAATTTTACAGTTTCTGAATTGCCATAAATTCTTCGTTTCAATATTGCACGCACAATCATCTTCTACTATTCTCGAATCTGTATCTTTTCCCGTTTTATAGTAATAACAAACTTTTTTTAACGAAATCTCAAGTCTAAATACTTTTAATTTTATCCATTTATAGCACCGTAGCTATAACATTCCAATTGCAATTACATTACTAAGGATGACAAAATCATAAATAAAAAAATATTTCCAACACTCACACCAATTAGCCTAGCCCCAAAGTAAGCACTGTAAGGTTTGTGTTATGGTATACTAGGGTAACGGATAGAATACATATACAGTAAATATATAAGTATATTTATATAGAAATACATATTGAATATCCATGAGTGGAACACAAATGCTTGTATTCAGCACACAAACATCAGCCCCCACCGGGATTCGAACCCAGGACCTCTCGAGTCGGCGACTCTATGAAACCCGACGTACAAACCACTCGGCCACGGAGGTCGTCAGTCATGCTCTGTTTTTGTTCTTTAATAATATAATAAATTCTTTTGTAGGTAAAGTCGCAAAAGCAGAATGGAAGAAACTGAGGGACAGTCACAGGGATTCTTTGAAAAGATCCAGGTCAAAGTCCGAACAAGGTGCAGAAGCTATTAACAACTGGAAATATGCTAAACTGATGCGATTTCTTCTGCCTTATATGAAGAATCGCAAGAGGAGTATCTATACAGCAATGTCTGTAACTGAAAACTCGGAAACTGTACACTCTCCTTCAAGTGAACCACAAATGCAAGACAGTGATAATTCGAATCAGTCGTGGCAACTCACCGAAAACCAAAACATTGGTCCAAACGATTTGTCAAGTAACAATACAAACGCGTCAAAAAGTAGAAAATTAGATAAAATCGATATAATCGAAATGATGAGAGAAATAGTCGAACACCATAACAGTCCTTGCGAAGAAAGGCATCAACGAAAAAAACCCGAAACACAAAAAACTACAAGAGACAAACATCCTCTAGATTCATTTTTCGATAGTATGTGTACGACAACTAAACAATTTCCTTCATGGTTACAAATCAGTGTTAAAAGGAAAATCTTCACAATAGTGTCTGAAGCCGAAGATACATTTGAAAATTTAAACTATGACAGTTCATCCTGGAATTATAACGACAACACAAATACAACGGCGGGTACTGCATCTACGATTCCATGCGAGACAGAATCAAAGCCAATCATCCAGGATAACCAGTGCATACCACCACAGCAATCACCGCAATAGCTTTTTCCTTATTTTAATGACATAGGTGCTTTATAAATAATAAATAATATAATAACATATTTTTGAAGCGAAACTTTTTTTCGGATAATGGAATAATCCCATGTAAAAGTTGAAACGGAAATGCATCCAGGATAACCAGTGCATTCCACCACCGCAATCACCGCAATAGCTTTTTCCTTATTTTAATAACATAGGTGCTTTATAAATAATATAATAACATATTTTTGAAACGAAACTTTTTTTCGGATTAATGGAATAATCCTATGGAATAGTTGAAACGGAAATGCGTCACGAGCGTCACACGACTTTATATATATAATGTGTGCGTGTGTGTGTGGGATGCGTGGGCAGGTCCTCCCGAAGATCATGAAAATTGGAGGGCGAAACACTCGGCGAAGGCTGAAACGTTACGAGCGTCACACGCGACAATATATACACAGTCAGGTCATAAGTATTGTCACACGGTAAAAACTTTTCTTTTAGAATGCTGGCCACAATAAAGTTTATTGAAATCGAATTTCGAATTGTTCATGACAATAAAAATGTATACTTTTAAGAATTTTACTCATTTTTAAATATGGAGTGGACGCTTAAAGAAAACCGTGTTGCAGTTATTGCGTTGCATCGTTGCGGTTACGCGCCAATAAAAAAATTTGACATACTGAAAAAATTTAAAACCAAAAGATACCTTTATCGTACCATCAAACGATACAATGAAGACTCTAGTGTAGATGACAGGTCAAGAAGTGGTCGCCCTCGGTCTGTTAGGACTCCAGCAGTGATAAAAGCTGTGAAGGCGCGAATTCAAAGAAATCCCAAACGTAAGCAGAAACTATTGGCCCTATAGATGGGGTTAAGCAGAACCACGGTGAAAAGGGTGTTAAATGAAGACTTAGGGCTTCGGGCATATTGAAGACAAACAGGACATCGTTTTAATGCTCGTCTAATGGACCTGAGACTGAAGAGATGCCGCGCTTTGTTGAAGCGGTACGCGGGAAAAAAATATCAGGAAATTCTTTTTTTGGATGAAAAATTTTTTACCGTAGAAGAGAGCTACAACAAACAAAATGATAAGGTGTACGCACACAGTAGTGAAGAAGCGAGCAACCGTATTCCGCGTGTCCAACGAGGTCATTTTCCATCCTCGCTCATGGTATGGTTGGGAGTTTCTTATTGGGGCTTAACAGAGGTACATTTTTGTGAGAAAGGTGTAAAAACGAATGCAGTTGTGTATCAAAAAACAGTCCTGACGAACCTTGTGGAACCTGTTTCTCATACCATGTTCAATAACAGGCCCTGGGTATTCCAACAAGATTCGGCGCCAGCTTATAAATAGACTAAATAGAATTTCGTTTACCGTACCCCGTCATCACCCCTATTATTTACTATCCTACCCCTCTAGCATGACAACCGAAACGGGATATGATAAAGCGATAATTCGGCATTAACTGTCAGACTGCAGTGGAGTTTGACAGTTGAGACTCGATAAAAAGCTTTGGCTGGTTCACGTCCTTTTGAATATATTACAAGAACTCATAGAACTGTTCAGGCGATAATATTTTTTATCTACACCTATGCTTTAAAACCTACCTATTAAAGATTCTAAAACAGATAGCTTATTGCCAACATTAAAACATATAAAGTAATAATTTATTTAAACCAACACCCAAACTGGTGTGATCGCCAGAATCGATACCATACTGGTATCGATTCTCTTAACTAACTTTCTGTATAAAGAATGACAAGGATACACTGTTGTCAAATTTAAGTTTAGGTTTAGAGAATCGCGTCAGAATAGACACCACAGTTGTAGTAAATTTCAAAATAACACAGTTACACTCCCTCGCTTTTTAAATCCCTGCTGCGCCAAGGGCTTACTCATCAGACAGCCAAAATTTTCACTGCTTGATGCGTGGTATTAAAATTTTAAGTTTTTATACCTCCCCATGCTTTTGGAAATTTTATTGAGGATTCATTTCATGGGCGTAGATAAAGTCTCGTATGCAAATGTTTATAATTAGGTATTAAAACACTCATGTGATGCTATTACCACCCACATTTGTGATTTAATAAAACAGTTGCATAAATAACTATTAAAATGTTCGTCATCTGAGTCACTAACAGGGCCTGATTTACCCTCCATATTTCACTAGTGCGATGTAGGTTTTTCATACATCCACTTACCTACTCCGACCTCCGACTACTTTGACGACCTCCGTGGCCGAGTGGTTTATACGCCGGGTTTCATGGTGTCGCCGACTCGAGAGGTCCCGGGTTCGAATCCCGGTGGGGGCAGATGTTTGTGTGATGAATACGAGCATTTGTACTCCAGTCATGGATGTTTAATATGTATTTCTATATAAATATACTTATATATGTACAGTATATGTATTCTTATCCGTTACCCTGGCATCCCATAACACAAGCCTTACAGTGCTTACTTTGGGGCTAGGCTAATTGGTGTGAGTGTTGGAAATATTTATTTATTTATTATTTATTTACTGGGAGGCATCTCCTCTCTCATCTGCTACTAAACTTATGGCCCTCAAAATAGAAGAGCTATCTATCTATTTATAGCCGGCCGTGATTTCATATGCTCCTGCTGGCAATGCAGATAGTTGACGGTGGATTGTAGACATTGTGGCACACTGGAAGACATCTCCTCGCCATCTGCTACTAAACGTAGATACCTCACCAAATTGGGTGGTCTTAGCTCGGACGCGGAACCGATGTTGGCGTTGATCTGGCTCTGTATATGTGTTAATCTCCATATTTCACTAGAGCGATATAGGTTTTCCATACATCCACTTACTTACTAGAAGGCATCTCCTCGCCCATCTGCGACTAAACTTATGGACCTCAAAATAGAAGACTTATCTACCTATTTCCAAGCTAAGACTAAGTATCAACAAATCATCCATGTAAAAGACTGTGGCCTGCATGCAGCTACTACACTTATGGACTTCAAAATAAACACCATCTTTCTATTGTAGACACGCCGGCCTGTAGTCGGGAAATTAACAAATCATCCATACATCCACTTACCCAGTAACAACGGCGGTCGTAGCTTCATATGCTCCTGCTGGCAATGCAGATAGTTGACCGTGGATTGCAGACATTGCGGCACACTAGAAGACATCTCCACGCCCATCTACTACTAAACTTATGGACCTCAAAATAAACACCATCTTTCTATTGTAGACACGCCGTACTGTAGACGGGAAATCAACAAATCATCCATACATCCACTTACCCAGTAACAATGGCGGTCGTGGCTTCATATGCTCCTGCTGGCAATGCAGATAGTTAACCGCGGCCTGCAGACATCGTGGCACACTGGAAGGCATCTCTTCCGCCAACTGCCGCACCAGCGCCGCTAAGAACTCGTCCAGGTACAACCTGCCTTCGTCCAGGAGGTGAGTCTGGACGAGGTCGTTTGACTTTTTCACGTTGAAAATCTTGAAGATTTGCTTCAGTGTGAACTTGCTGGCCTAGGATGACGAATTGGCTGATTATGTTCTCTATTGTAGTTACTTTGTCGTCGTACACAGAGACGTCAATTATATACCTTTATAATTAATATTTAAAGATTGATCAAAATTATGGATGTCACTTGCTTTGCTTAAGACAAAAGAGAAAATAGATTAAGACAATTTTAAATTCCATTACATTTTTTTGATGTTCCGTTCGACATCATCCCTGTCCTGTTATGTAGAGAAACTGGTATAACATTTAATAATTAAAGAAATTAATAACCAAGTCTGAGAAAAAAATGATCAACAAATTCAAAATCAAGATTTCTCAACGTACTTACTAGTTTTGTAGGGAAAAGCTTAAAAAAATACACTCACCCTAACCACAGCTGGATTGACATCGCACAGATGTAGCAAGAAGCACGGTAATGACGCAATAGCCTGATCGATTAACGGCTCAGACACTCTTCCTGCTATAACCCCAAACAGCCTTATGGAGCTTTCTCTTAACAGTGCACAGTCCGTGTTCATAAACGGCCGTATCTTCTGCGATATAGAGAGCAGTTCCCGCTCGAACTCTTTGTCGAGTTCATCGGTCTCCGATAGCAGTCTGGTGAGACTTTGGATGGCTGCTAGTGGCACGTTGTCTGATACCGACCTGTTAATGGAGTTTAACGTGGATTACGTAAATAAAGTTAAAAATATGGTTGCCTGTAAAGTCGGTTTTACGGGCGAAGATTTTACGTGACAACGTCTTTTTCTCGGTAGAATATTTATTGATATGAATATAATTAAATTGCACAATAGGAACAAGGAATTGAATGAAAATAAGAATTGCACAAATTTTAACTATAGAAATATATTTTGTTTACTAAAACATTGTACATGTAAACTTAAACTTAACACGAGAGACTCATCGTAACGTTACCGAGCGTTACACTTTTTCATAAGTGACTCCCAGCCGCAACCTAATTTAAGACGTTGTCACGTCAAAATATCAAAAACATTGTTTTATTTTGGCAACAAATGTCAAATTTTATGTCGATATTGAAACGTCAGAGTGAAAAGTTGCATTTGAAGCGTAGTTTTGGAACGCAGGCCCGCTATCGTGTTGTCAAAAAAATGGACGGTGAAACAATACCCTGCCAATCAAACCGCGCTGCGGTGATTTGTGTATGTTGGCCATCGGGCTCGGAAAGCAAAAAGTTTGTTGGTGCAAAGAAATGAAATTTTTGTGTGTAGTGAGACAAAATTTTGTGTAGGCGGATTCGTTAAATGTTGATGTTTTTGTTGATTGTGTAGCGCAGAATACGCACTGGAGTTAAAGCTTCCAGTTATGTGCGGCCAAAAGGACCGCCCGATCATACAAATGTCGCCTGTTATGTGGCGAGTGAGTTTGCGTGTGTGTGTGTGTGTGTGTATACGTGCGTGTGTTTTTGCGTGCGAGTGTGTGTGTGCGTGTGAGAGTGTGTGTGTATACGTGCGTGTGTTTTTGCGTGCGAGGGTGTGCGTGCGTGTGTGTGTATACGTACGTGTTTTTGCATGCGTGTGTGTGTACGTGCGTGTGTGTGTGCGTACGTGTATGTGTGCGCGTGTATGTGAGTGTGTGTACGTGCGCGTGTGTACGTGCGCGTGTGTACGTGTGCGTGAGTGTGCGTAGGTGCGTGCGTGTGTGTGTATGCGTGCGTGAGTGCGTATGTGTGTGTGTGTGAGTTTGTGTACGTGTGTGCGTGCGTGTGTGTACGCGCGTGCGTTTGTGTGTACATGTGTGTGTGTGTGTGTGTGTGGGCTCACAGTGTGTAGGGCGCGTCGACGCCGTGGCTGAGCGCGGCGAGGGCGGGCGGCAAGGCGCGCGCGCGATGTGCGGGCGTCAGTCTCGCTACATTGGCAGCGCCGCGCATGCAGGCCGCTCGCACGCGACTTGATTCGTCTTTCCAGCCAGTGTTCAGAGTGGCCAGCACCGTCTCTATTAGCACGTCGTTTTCGTTGCATCTATAGGAAAACAACGAAATTTTTTGATAGTAACATCTTAAAAAACACGTTAAAGTTATTGCAGTCAACGGTGACCAGAAACTGTCATGTAATTGAGCAGAATGACGTTCGGGATGAGAGAGGCTAAATTAAACAAGGTCAATTGCTAATCTTATGAATAACAATCCGTATTTTTTTCCCCACTAAAGCAATGTTCGTACACTATAAAGAAACTAAAACTACCTTGTGTAAATTATGCCAAGAGAGACCTCTTTTCTGCCATTTTTAATATCTTGGAGACTAAATCCCCTGACTCTCACGTAACATGTAATTTGCTACAACACATAAATAAAAAAAAAATATTACATTCTGAAACTCTTTATAGTTGCCTGCCGTCCATTGCTAATCTTTGTTTTATAATATTAAACAGATTCTCTCTAATGATTCAAAACAGTTATTTTGTACTTCCAATCTCACTAAAAACATTCATTCTAGCAGACCTACCTGTAGTTGAGCAAATCTGCAAGCAGTGCCAAAGCCGCGGCCCTTTGCGGCGGTAAAGGCGATCGAGCGTATCCAGCCGCCTTCGACACGAGGCGGGCCAAATGTTGAGGGCATTCCCTACTCAATGCCCCACCTAGTATCGGAGCTAACTCCACTAGGGTAGATGCCGAGTCACCGTGCTCCACGCTCAGGCACAAAGAGCAGGCTTCCCTCACCTTGACACACAAAAGACAATAGGAATGATGACTAATTTTTTTTTTCGTTTATCAGGTAGATTATATTATCAAAAAGTACTGGACACGTATTTTTCTTTTTTCACATAGTATAAACATTGCAGAGATATGTAGATTTGAAAAATCGCATGACATCACGTTTTGGTACACTTCTAAGTGAAAATTCACTAAAAAGTGACGTCACGAGCCCCTACTCCCAAATTTTGACGCGCTATAACTTTGTCATTTTTTGGTTGATTGCCCAAAGAAAAAATACGTGTCCATTATTTTTTGATCATGTAACTGACGGACTAAATAGAATTTCGTTCACTGTACCCCGTCATCACCCCTATTCTTAATTGTAATTATTCCATTTTTAAAAAGCAATGTGTAGCCAATCGCAGAGTCGAATCAAGAAGGCGCAGATGCAAAGTTTCATATATTGCACGTATGTGATTGAGCACTGGCAGCCTGTCGTCGCCAATAGAAACGTTTCTCTGCGAACGTGGCAGACACCAGTGATCACTCACACACGCGCAGTTGTTGTAAGCTTTGTCTCTTTGCCTTCTTCACTCATGCGGCAGAACTCCATTGCTCACACGAGCGGACCAATAGCATTCCGTGCCGCGCCTTCAACGAGTTGGGGAAAATGTTGAGGGCATTCCCTACTCAATGCTCCGCCTAGTATAAGAGCTTAATCCACCAGGGTACATGACGAGTCACCGTGCTCCACGATCAGGCATAAAGAGCATGCTTCCCTCACATTGTCACACAAAAGACACTTCTTATGTAGTATATACACTAATGTGTAGCCAATCGCAGAGCAGAACCCCACCCCTCAGAGAAGAATCAAGAAGGCACAAAGGCAGTTTCATGCAGTGCGCGTATGTGAGTAAGCACTGGCCTGTCATCGCCAATAGAAATGTTTCTCTGCGTACGCGAGATGCGCGACAAAATTAGCTATTTGTCTGACGTAGGTTCCAACTTCCGTCAGCAGTGAAGTTATGGAAAGCAAAATCTCAGTATCTTATAAGGCCATTGATGTTGTTTGTAGGTTGATGAATTATGACGTCACGCCCAAGCGTTCCAGAAGTGTTTAAAATGCCCAATGCAAGGTGGCTATTATTTTTTGTCATTTTAATCTTTTTTTCGTCGTATTTTTTTTTATACTGTAGAAAGGGGATGTAAACTACTAAACAGAAATATATAAAATAACGCGCTAACTACTTACACCATCAAGCTCCTCCATACAAATAATTTATAATCGTAAGTATTCCAAAACTAGCAACGAGAACGATGCATCCATCTGAGAATATTGGCCAATCGCGGAACAGACCTCCACTGCACAAACGAGCGGACCAATAGCAGTCCGTACATTTCTTTCATTATCACTTACCCATCATCATTAATTATGAAGAATGAGCTTGGATTAGTTACTGAAAGTTTTGTCTCTGTTTATTGAAAGACAAATGGCATTTGAGTGATATGAACAAAACACGGAACTAGTGACTAGTCTTAACCTATTCCCCGTTTATTGATAAGGGAGTAGTGTCTTGGAAAATAAAATTATGAAATACAACCAATATTACAATAAATGAAAAAGACAAAAAACAAAAACTCACCTTTTGACAACCCGCCCGTTCGAGGAAGGCATTGAATGTGTTAACTGTAATCTTAGCCGGGGAGAGCTTTATAGCATCCCTGTTGGGAATATATCCGAACCGTTCTTGCGTTTTGTTCGCAGGCAGGGAATACGCAGGGGGCTCCGCTTCTATGTAGCAGGCAAGGGTGGTGTACAGGACGCAGAACATATCTGGGAACTTCGATACACATGTTGAATCCATGGCCTCTTCTTGAAGCATTTCTCCCAAAGCGCTGACTAGCTGAAAGTTAGACGGATGTTTTTAAATCGAACTAGAGTTAGAAGAACAAAAACAGATAAGTCGTAAAGGCATTGTTCAAAACAGCTGGTAGGATTCGGAACGAAATGCAATAAAAGACTGCAGTAACATTGTGACTGTGACTACATGAAAAGGGAATGACTGCTAAACTTAGAAGGAAAAAAGGAGAATAAATTAATCTATCTACAGTAAACATCTTACAGTCAACGGCTGGAGGGCAGCTATATGATTATCCGTGATATGATACGGGTCTTCGTAAAGCTCTATTGAAGTCATCAGTCTCAAAAAGTTGTCGACTATCAGCGATCCAAGGGTTTCGTCACGCGCCAAGTGCCTCCAACAAGACACTACGCATCTACAAGAACAAATAAATCATTAATGCAGCTATAGCATTACTATCAGGGGACTTTAAGATTATAATGTTTTTAAGGTATTTTAGTGGTGCTGGTTTAGTAATTGTAGGAAATTGTGCAATAAAACTATTCTTTAAAGTAAGATTCCTACCAAATGAGTTAGACTAAGCTTTTGCAAGAATTAGGGGACATAAAACAGCTATATCTATAACGTAAGATCTCTAAGGCAGAATTGCTGCAAGTGGTGCAGCAATTTTGCTGAATCACGATTCAACTAAAACTACATTAAACCATAGAAAAATATCAATGTCAATTTGACATTATTGTATGGGCTAAATTTAGTTTATGATAAATTGAGATTGAGCATAATTGTTGCAAGTGGACCTAAAAAAGTATGGAACTAACAACCACATTCAATAACAACAATTACGTTAAAAGCTTGTTAAAGTTTTCCTTTTCTATGGCCATAATAATACGAAACGATGAATAAAAAACACAACTTACGGTTTGAATGGAATTCTTTGTGCCAAAAGTACAGCAGTGACAGCATTTGAATGATGTCGAGCCAATGAAGTCATCGGCTTCATCAACCTCCAGCTCGGCTCATCCCCAACCGCATCCATGGTCCTCAGCATAACCTCCACTATCCTTTCTACGTTTTGGAACAGGTCTTGTCCCTTTTTGATTAGGAACGCGTCAAGAATAGCACTAATACCCACATTTCTGTACTCATGGTTTTCATAGTTTTCCAACAAGCTTTCAATAAACTGCATCGTGTGATGATGTGGTATTTTCGGTGAAATAGTATCACATAACACCACGCAATAGTCACATATCATATTAATATCATTCGTCAGTACGTTATTTTGCAAAGCAGTAAGCTTTCCCATACACGGGTCGTTAGGTTCTATAGTGATTCCCTCATACAAATCCTGTATTTGGATTATTAGTTTTATACAATCTATAGTAGTCAGCCTTACGGCAAAGTTCGTATCAGATACACCAGGCACTACTAGGCCTAGCAAATAACCCATCTGACCGAATTTACTTGGAGTTTCATAATTCAGTTTGACATTTTTGAAGTAAGAATCAAATATAACTTGCAAAATCAAAACAGACGCAGTACGAATTTCGTCATTTTCGTGTCGGAGCCATTCAATGATTAAGCCAACTAGATCGTCAATGGTACTAAGACATGTAGACTGTATTATCAGCTCTTTTATCAGTTGATGGAGTAGTGTAAGACTATCATTTAATGTCTTGGCAAGAAGGTCATTTTTTTCACCGTTGCCTTCGATTTCATATTTCTTCTTAAAGGAAGATAATTCTTCAAATATGCTGTTGAAAAACACACGTATTATCGTATTTCTTTCTTCAGGAAGAATTCCTTTTTGTAATTTAGTTAGGGCTTTTGAAGCTTTTACTATAATAGGATAGAGCTCTACGTTTCTTTTTTCTAAATTGGGATTGTATATTTGTTCTAAAACAGCATTTAAGAGCTGCCACCTATTCCTCAATGCTACGTTATGGTGTGCCGCAGGATACAACGCCTTGCTTATGTGGTAGAGGGTCGCAACAGTAGCGTTACACATATCGAAAGGAGGATTAGACTTCAAAATTTCATACAATATCGAGGTAACGTTTTCACCTAATCTAGCCAAAACATGTACGTCAAGGCATTCTGAAGCAACTTTTCCATATGATGTTATCAAAGCATACTTGACTACACTTACTTCAGCATCGTTTTTCGAGGTACGCGAGGACAAAAAATGCATAATCTTACTGCTGCGTTTTGACTCGTTTTCTTTGTACGTGGCATCAAGTTCATTAAGGACAAACTCTCCATGTTGTCGCGACGCTATACCTATTGCTTTACTCACGTATTCGACACTATCCACTGGAATTGATTTAAGAGCAAATAAGATTATCTTCAAAACGTTTTCCACCACCGCAGCATTAGACATGTGACACGCTAATATGGCTAAATATTGTAGAGAAACTCCTTTTATTATGGGTGGCTGTTTCTTTGAAAGAATCTGCGATGATATCATTTGAGATATGCTTTCAACCCATTTATTGCTATTCACCTGTTCCACCGCCGATACTAAAAGAACCAATAACATGTCATGCCACTGTTCTTTAGATTCAATCTTTTCGACGTACTTTAGGAGTCTTTGTATTTCCACCGTCCAAGAGTTTTTCAGATTCTTATGGACGTCCCCTGAATATTCTTCCAGGAAAACCAGGAGGTTCTTATTTCGTTCTATTTCTTCAGGATCAGCGACATAAGTTATACAACGCACGAATACTAAATCGGGTGAGTATTTTACTTCAGGTAATTTTTCTCTTTGATCGTCACCACTAGCGTCAGAATTGTTTTGTAAGAGTGATGTTAGACATAAGCTTATTGTTGATAAAGATGGAGTAAAATCTTCAACTGTCAATGCTGTCAAGAGCAAACTCCTAAGCTGTGTGCGAACACCTGTTACTGTATTGCACATAAGTATCAAGGAGCTCTTACAAGTATCATGTAACTCCATTATTTCTTGTTTCGACACGTTTGCTGGCGCCTCGCAACCACAATTCTTAATTATGAATTCCACCATTGTGAAATCTTCAGAGTTTATAATACAATTTCTATACACCAGACCAACGATTGCTTTCACGAGTAACTTTTTCATTTTTAATCCTTGTTCCATAGTAGTCATAACTTTTAGTATATTTATAAATTTTGTGGAATATGTCTCTGTGAAAACTTGCGAAGAAGTCGTCAAATGAGTTAAAATGATTACCGCTTTCATGCGATCTTTTTCGTGGTTATTTTTACATTGATGTAGCAGACTTTCAATCGTTTGATCTGAAAACTGTTCGGCCATATGATCGAAACAGCGAAGCACTTCAAAGTGGTTTTTGACAGTGTGGGGTTGGTCGTAATCAGGTTCCAACACAATCAAATTAAAAAGGACGTGGTTTATAGAATTTATTACACTGTCATTCAAACTCAATTTAGGATTTAACGGCGATGGCGACAGTAAATACGATATACATTGACTGATATAGTAGAAATTTATAGCCGGTTTTCTGTACAAAGACAGTAGTGAAAGCACAAATTTGTTGACAGTCTCATTGAATTGCCTTTCGGAAATGAGTCTGGTTATAGGGCCGAGGGCTTCTAGGACAGATTCGGAAACTTTTGGCTCGTTGTGTGTTAACCACTGATTGTACAGCACGTCGAATATAATAGAAAATTCCGTGACAAAATTTTCTTTTATTGATGTTATATTGCCACTCTCCACGTTGTCACCAATTTGTTCAGAAACTGCAACCGCAAAATGGCCGAAAGCTGTTAAAAAATAAATAAAATCGTTTTTATCTAATAATTGTGTGTGGGTTTAATGCAATCAATCTTACAAATGATTTAATATCTGCTAACAAATATTTTTAATCAGGTGTGAACAAATTACTATCCTTCTATCCCTAACACAAAAATGATGTTAATTGGTTTCGTAACTATATTTCGATATTATATAAAATATTGATGCAGAAAGGTTCAAACTAGAAAAAGCACTTTAGGACATATATTATTTTTTTCTTTAGTTAAGTATCAAAATCCTCAATCTTTTGAAGTTTGAGGATATAGTACAATTTGATAAACTTAATATGTAAGTATGTCATGTCAATAATAATATGCACCGTAAGCGAACGCCTGCTTGACCGCATCGTTGCGTACGAGTGGTAATAGCGGCAGCATCTTGCCGAGGATTTCCTTGACGTGTGGCACCACAGCGTGAGTGTTCACAGCCGCCAGCGTGCCAAGAGTGTGCGCGATGGTGTAATGCGGAACGGAGGCAGGCGAAAGTTGGTTGATCAGCAGACGGAGCACCTGAGAAAGGTGTGTACTTGGTTATTACAAAGAAATTTCTTTTAGTTGATCATTTAAAAAAAAAACATATTTCTATATTGCTGGCTCAGCGCGTGCGTACAATTTCGCGGTGGAATGCGGAACGGAAGCATGCGACTGTTGGTTGATCAGCAGGCAGAGTACATGAGAGAGGCGTGGACTCAGGATATTAGAAAGAAGAGAACAATATTTTACTTGTTGATAATTTCCAAAATTAATCGATATTGTGGGCTCAGCATGTGCATACAACTTCGCAGTGTAGGGGACTATTGCTTGATCAGCAGACAGAGCACATGAGAGAGGTGTGGATTCAGGATATTAGAAAGAAAGAAGGAACATTATTTTACTTGTTAATATTTTCCAAAATTCATCGATATTGTGGGCTTAGCATGTACAAATTCGCAATGTAATGAGGAACCGAAGCAGGCAAAAGTTGATTGATCAACAGACGGATCACTATCACACGGTGTGGACTTGGACACTTGGTTATTGGAAAGAAATTAAAGAACAATATTTTATTTATTGTTAATTGTAATTGGCTAAGGAAAAGAAGTGATATTTTTGTGCCAAAGTATTAAATGTTTATTTTAACTTTGTGACTAGCATTAAACTGTACTATATTTCCACACTAGTGATGCTCTACTGAACCTAAAAAGGCATTATGAGTACATCATAATAATAAAAACATATATTGCTAGAAGATTTTGGATGTCACAACATTTCAATTATGAAAGGCAAAATATATTATGAACTTTTGTCATAAAACTATTCCTATAGTTTTTGTCTGGCATTAATAAATATATTTTTTCTATTTATTTATAAAGGACTTTTGTCCAAAAAAGACACGTCATTCCTATTGAATCTTAATCTAAATACATAGCATACAGAAAATTAATACTTAAGCTAAAATAAATAAATTTGCAATCCTATTTGTAGTTCATAATAACAACACAGCTCTCGTCAGTGAAAAACCTGTTTTAAATCAGAGTGTATCTGCTTTCAGTTTTTACGTTGTTCACTATGACCTTGGCCAGAAAGCATCTGGCATTGTTCAATGATATAATATAAATGGAAGTCAAAGATTAAACACACATTATAAAAAACAAACATTTAAAAGTAGGATTATCCATTATAAAGGACTTTTCTCCTTTATTTAATTTCATTATTTATTTAATACAATATATTTTTAATTATGAACCTAAACTAAAAAAGTTAGTTTCTTGTTTTGTTATTAAACTAATTTATGTACCTCTGTCAGAAAGTGCAATAAGATACCAAATAATTTATCAGAATAATATTTGCTATTAGATAAATTAAAGATAAGCATGGAAAAAAAATGATTACCAGCCTATACCTGTGTGGAGGCCCCAGGACAACAACTGAGTGGGGTGTAGGGGTCCCTATTTTAAAATCTGGCACCACAAGTCACTTACGATTTGTTGATATTAATTATAAAAATAGTTGTTGACTAATAATACTAGTACAAACTAAATATTATAGAAAAATATTATCTCATTTGATACATTTATAGAGTTCCTTCATTTAAGAATAAGTGCATCTTTGACTTTCATAAATACTACAATTAATGTAAGTTGCTTAAAAATATTAAAGGTTCAGAAGGTTATTTTTACTTTAAATGGGCCCAATACATTAATTCAACTTAGTTGTTTTACTTCTACCTTCTGATTTCATTTCTTAGTAGTTTATTCTGCAAAATTTAGTAATGTGGAATAATTTTATAGACATACCAAGTCCAAATGTTCATGTCCAATAGCCACTAAAACAGATGACGCTCCAAGTTGCACTGTGGGCTCATATTGTGGATTCTCTGACATTGCGCGGAGCATAGAGTTGACTAACTCGGTAGCCACATTTTCTTTTAGTTTCTTTACCTGGTTTACACATGTTTGCTCTAAAACTCTGCAACACATTTTCATTACTATATTAAACACACTGCACCAAAATATTTAACTCTTCAAAGGTTAAGGAAAAAAACAAACAGTTAATCAAAGACCCCATATTTGTTTCAAATCAGGAAACATTAATAGTGTATAATACTCACTTCACAATATTTCCCAGCTGTGTCGTATTAACTTTGACCGTGTTTTTATAGAATTCACAAAATATTTCTATAACTTCATTAGGATAAATATTTGCTACCTTTGATAAAGATTTGATAACAACATTATTGACTGTATTGTCACTATCACCAACAGCATTAATTAACACCGTCACAGTGTCTGCAAAAACATATGATAAAGGTATATTCGTTGAATCATTTGAAGCCAATGCAATGCTCGTGCAAAATACTAGAAAACACTTACCTTTCAATATATCTGATTTTGCAGACATTTTGGGGCTCGATGCAAAAGTTTTGTTTAAACATTAATAGTTCTAAGTCCCTTGAATAGAAGAAAGACCCAGAAAAACAACAACCCGCAATCGCAAAACAACACAACAAAAGTCGATCTACGAAATTACGAATACGATGAATCGTCGAACGAAACGAAAAACGTCAGAAAATTATAGTCAGTGCTGCCAGTTGGCCACCGTGGAATTAAAATAAGGCTGCATGAAAGAATAGGCTAGTTGACTCATGTCGAATTGTATTAAATAAATGTTTATTTCTTACAGTATTTGGTCTAAGGAACCTAAATATATCGATTTCACTTCATAAACGCAGAAGATTGCTGTAGAAATTTAACTTAAAAAAATATTTTTTAGTCTATATTTTTTAAACACTAAAAACGCTATTCGCCACATCCGCCATGATTGTGACGTCTCTTTCAGTAAACAACTAAATGTCATTCGCGTGTTATTGTGGGTGGATTCTTTAGTCTGAATAAATTTATCTTAAAACACTTTTAACTGTAGAAAAGTTTCCGTTTACTGTTTTTTTGACATAACTAATTATGGATGCCGGCTTTGTGAAAGCAGAAAGCACAAATCTGCCAAGAATTGACGCATTGATGGTTGGTGAATTTTTTGCACTAAACCCCGATTTCTGCTCTGCGGAGCAGAGAAACGACAAGGCATCTATGTAAGTACAGTGCATTTAGTATTACAATGTAGTAATAAACATAAAACTGATACAACATATGAATAAGTGTAATAAAGTTGCGTAGGTTAATTTCTTTCGGCACTTTAATCCATAACATTCCTGGAGTCTTCAAGGATGTGTTTTTATATTCTCGTACAATACAATTATAATAATTACTTTATTTTTTGTGGTATTTATTAGAAATTGTGTTCTTTTTATTATAAACTCAGATAAGTTATTTTCTACGTGCTTACGAGTTTTTGTTTACTATAATTGACATCATAGCATAGACAATCTATTGACTAAAATGGCCGACAGCGTTATTGTATGTCCATGAAAATTCTATTTTAAAATTAAAGATTTGTAGCTTTCTAGGTCTCAAAAAAATACAATACATTTTTTTTTCGGTCTAATAGAACATTTATTCACCATTTAAAACCTTTTTCCAAAAAGGGTCAACTAGCCTATTGAAATGGGGTTGAAACTTCTTTCTGCGGCGTATGATACGGTGAAGAAACTTAGCCACTGGCACTAGGTTGAATCATTCCTCGGAGTATTGATGGTACAACACGCACAAAGACGCAAAGTCTCTGCGCAAGCTTAGAGGGCTCAGGATCATCGATAATTCGAACAGTTCACCTTTGTATCAGGCCAAGATGGAGGAGCTGGGTATCAGGGTTGCTCCAGGTGAGAGCAGTACTCCATATGAGGACACTGGCACTCTGGGATGGTTTCCTAAAAAGTTTAATACTTGTAAAGGTATTCATTTGACATTGTGGGTAACCTACGATGCGAACAGATGGCGTTGCACTGCTGCCTAAGAAAGTCTAGAGAAAATTCGACACGGCAATCGGGCCGCGGTAGCATAATGGTCAGTGCCTTCGCCCGGATACCGAAGGTTGCGGGTTCGAGTGCCGTCTACTGCCTGGTCCACGTAGGGTTTTTCCGGGTAAAATTTTTTTAGATTTAAACATCTCGCAGTTAAATGCTTTACATAAATAATAATATTAAAACTATGATTCTCTTAACCTTAACCTTAATTTGACAACAGTGTATCCTTGCCAATCTCTGTACAAAATGAAAAAGAGATACTGATGTTAGATTTAGTTTAGTTTTAAGTTTTTAGAGAATCACACCAGAATCGACATCAATGTTCTATCTATTAAAACATGACTGAAAACGTGGAGCTTAAAATGACGAAACACGTCATGTAAACTTCCGATCAAAGTAACATTACTTTAACGTTTGGTAAAACTTCTTATTACTCAGAGAAACGAGAAAGCAGTATTTTTAATTTCGTTTTTCTAATGAATTACGCCATAGGATGCTAAATATCTAAGTGTTTTTTATGTAGTCCATAAACATAAAAAAAAACACGAGAGATTTTAAAAAGTTGTCAAATACCTTATTCTATTAGTATTAATATCAAAACCCTAAAAATATAAAAAAGCGAAAGATCTACGCGAAAAATCTCCGAGGCGGCAACATTATAATGTCTATGGGCGATATAGTTTTTACATTCTTGCAGATATAAAGGTAAAGAATTATATGTTTATACAGAAAAAGTTCTAGATATATAATGGATATATCCCCATTCTGTTATTAATAAACGCGGAATAAGATTAGACTAGTTACGCCATGTTCTGTTCTTATAACTCAAATGCCAATTCTATGAACACAAACAACACATGGAGTAATTATTCCTAGTTTGTTGTTCGTTTATTAATACTGTTTTAGGGTTCTACCTTAAGTTTCTACGAGTGATACTGCATAATAGGACGGGACTTTACACGTCTGTCCGCCTTTTTGTTTTCTTTCCGTGGTCTTTACTGTTTCATTTTGACAGCAGGTGGACCTTATCATAATACTTTACGAAGTGAGAAGGAGAGACTGATGTCAAGTTTACAAAATTAGCAAATATGAATAACCAAGTGGAGTGCCAGTATTATTATCACATCACTTGTATCTACATCTAAAGAAGTAAATATAAAGTTTATAAGTAAACCACGGCTCTTTTTATTTCAGCTAGACAGCTGACCAAACTTTATTTTCTCTCTCTCATTACAGTACCAAAACGTACAAGCCCGAACCGCGGCTTATAGGCGGTTACAGGCTCGTGCATTTACATCTTATAAGTAGGTCACCGTTTACACTTTGCTACGTATTATACAAAATCCGCATATGGAGCAAAACACGCCTAGATCTTTGATTATTTATTTACGAAAAACCGACGATTATGTTGTTCATCCCATTTCGACACTGATGAAGTTACTCATCCCAATTCATTTCAGTAGGCTCATCTAGGGGACTTGGGCTTTGCTTTAACTCCTTGTGGTCGTCTATGGTCTTCCTGTTGAACGACGACAGCCGAGTCGAATAAACTTGCGTTCTCACAAATCGCCAATTGGATTTCTGGCGATTTTGATTGACGGACGGGAATGGGATTGTCTCAAAAAAACCAAACACAGAAACCTAAACTATAGTTTAAACAAATTTTATTTACCCACCCACATAAGGTAAAAATACTTTCTCCCAATAAATACATCGATAATTAGATTAAACGAACAAGGGTCTAAAGTACTCGACTTACATATTTTATACCGAATTTCTCTTGTGATATTTATTACAATGTCTTCGTGCGGGTCAGTAACTGATTTATTTATGTGATGTACTGTGTGGTTCGTTTAAGTGACAAAGCAAAAGCGTCGGTTCCCATTCTAGACTATTATCCTATTCGTGATTGCGTTAGACCGGGAACGGGCCACTAGGTTTAGTTGGCGCGGGGACTCCAAAGCGGCAAATACGGAGGCGCAGATCCTGTACCGCATCATTTATCGCCAGGATTGCGGTGAGTTCACATCGTACCTCGTTTCAGATTGAATTATAGTGAAACCAACATAACACTGTTTAGCGAATAGGACGTGATTGTGTACTGTGTCTCACATTTCGCACTTGGCATCTGACATTGAAGATCGCCCGATCAGCTGCCCGATGTCTTAAAATAGCTATAAAATGTCAAGACTGCCCTGGCAATGTAACAATCAGCTGATTCAAACAGTTTTAATTATATCTAATTGGGTAACTTACAATTAAATGTTCATTTTGGCTGTTAGGGATTATCTAACCCACAGTCTTTAATCATTTTGATTATTTTCAACTGATAAAATTAGCAGTCTCAAACTGTAGTTGGTGGTGTTAACACAATTATAGTGATTTGTACTTTGTGTTTTCAGATTTAAAAATGGTGCAGCAGGATTTGACTTAGGCTGTGGGACATTGCCAGTAAAGTGATTGCGAGAATGGCTCAGGGTGGCTCACCCGTGTGAGCCCTGAGAGCTGTGGACACTTGGCGAGTCCAGTGTAGTGTAGTGCAGTGTCTAGTCACAGTGTGTGTGTGCATGTGTGAGTGGATCCGGGATGCCCTCCGCAATGTTGTCGGCAGTGCTTGAAGAGGAGCCTGACTTATATGAGGCGTTCCCCCCTCATGTTGATCCCACTGGCATCACCATACTGACAGATAGTCCACCAGGTAATTATGAGCTTCTTTTTAATGAATTTTTGTTGTTTGATATGTTCTATGGTAAATTATACCAGTTTAATGCTTATCGTAAAAAATAAAAATTAACATATTCAATAGTAACATTAAAATGAAATAATAACTATTTTTATGGTACATGAATAGAAATGTCTAGTAAATTTGTAAAGTATGAAAATGTGCTTATTTTGTTTTCGAACTACCCACAACCCAAATCATTTCATTTCAAAAATAAAAAGTTTTTTCAGTATCTATTTTCACTGTTTTCTAAATTTTATTAAAACTGCAAAATAACCAATGTGTTTTAGTATTATATGTTCCAATGGATATTATTACATTATTGTAAAACAATTATATCATTACAAACAGTTGCCTAGTAATCATTAATTTACTTTGTGTAATGAATTCTGTGAAACTTCACAATGCTTCAGGTTTTGTTTGTGAAATATGGAGACATGTTGTCTAAACACCCAGAAGTTAAACAATAGAACTCTTGCTGTCTTCAATGATATACTGTAATGTCTTCATTTTGTTCACACCTGACATCACCTTAAATGTATTTGTTTTTTGATTTTATGAAAAATACTGTGGTTTACATGTTTTATTAGATTTTTAATGTTTAGCAATCTACAATCTGCAAAGTGATTTCTGAATGGATTTGGAATACAAGTAGGTAGGTTATAATAATGCTATTACTTAGTATCAAGAAGTAATTATAAATAACTAAAGTTCATAATTTATTTTAGGGAAAGGTACATAAATAATGTTAGAAAAGGTACATAAATGAGTAAAGAAAAAACTATGAAAACTTTGTCCATTATACCCTCATTATTATAAATCTTAACACAAAGTTACATATATAATAAAATGATTAAGTAATAACAAATATTACTTAACAAATACACTTCA